GAAAATGTGACTGGGATTATTTGATTAAAGGATGATGACAAATAACGTGCTATCTTTAGTGCCTCCTGACAAGCTTCATGGCTTTCTCGGCTTCAGGGAGCTCTGGAAAAAAAGGTCAGTTTTAAAATCTGTCTGTGTAAGAATTGAAATATTGCTGCTGCTTTGGAGCCTGGCAAGGAAACCCTCACAGTGGGATGGAAAAATATTTCATCCTTGTATTTTATAGTCTTATAAATCTCCAGTGTCTTTTCCAGCCACAGTGAGGAGGCTGTGATGTGCAGTCACGATACCCAAATAAAACAGACACAGCTTTGCCTTTCTGTGCTCTGCTGAGACCCAGCCCTTGGGAAAGTGTAACCTGTGCCATCCATTTTCTCCTCAAAGCCTGGTTTTAAGCCCAGGTTAAACATTTTCCTGAAGTGAAGGATGATCTCTTGTTTTGCCTGGACTACTGAGCCTGCTGGGAATTACAAAGCAATCCTTAGTCAGCACAGTGGGATTCAAAGTGAAAAATGTACCCCTCTCTGCTAGAAACCAGTCCCTCTGCAGCCTGGGAGCTGTGGAGAAAGGAAAATGGCTCTTGTGTCCCAGCAAGGCAGGCTGCATTGATTTTGAAGAAGCAGTTATTTGTTTGAATTTTGCTGAGGTGCCTCCACTTTCTGAGATCTTATGAGAAAAGCCCTCTTTGCCAGTAGTGCCCTTTCATGAGAAAGGAGCTGCCTGTACCAAAAGTCAAGTGAGAGGAAGAGGTGCAGAACTGCTGGGGAAGGGGTAGAACAGAAAACACTGGGCTGAATGCTGTTCCCCTTTGTGCTGTCTGTTCATTCCCTGCTCAGTCCTGTCTGTCTCAGCCAGGGCAGCCCCTGGGCTGGCAGGGTCCTGCCCTCTCAGATCCTGTCTGGGGTCCGGAGTAGCTTTTTGAATGGCAGAAGCAGAAGTGTGTCTCTAAGGGCCCTGCAGGGTTTGCAGGTGGTTGCAGAAGCTCTTTAGTGACTTCAGGAGCTGCTGGAGGTGCTGGGCTGGGGGAGCAGTGTCCCACTGCCCAGGATATCACACACATGTGCTCCCCTCTCACTTCCCACAGCTTTGTTCCATCATTGCAAACACGTGTTGTAAGTGAATTCATCCCCTCCTATCCTCAAACCAGAGGTCCCAAAGGGAGGTGCTGGGGTGGTGATGGAAGTACCCCAGGGCACTTTTCCTGCCCTCCTCTGCAGCACCACTGGGAGCTGTCCTGGGGGCAGGTCCCTGAGCCATCCTTGGCTTCCTGGTCAGCCACAGGGGCAGACTTGGGGCAGGGGTGTCTGCTAAACACTGCCAGCTGTAATCCAAAGAGGCTGAGACAGCTGGGATTGCCCAGCCTGGAGAAGAGAAGGCCCCAGGATTTAGAGACCCTTCCATGTCTAAAGGGGTGCCAAGAGAGCTGGAGAGAAGCTGTGGCTGCCCCTGGATCCCTGGAAGTGCCCAAGGCCAGGCTGGACAGGGCTTGGAGCCACCTGGGACTGTGGAAGGTGTCCCTGCCATGGCAGGGGGGCAACGAGAAGAACTTCAAGGTTCTTCCCAAACCCAAACCATTCTAGAATTCAGTGATATCCCAAACACTGAAAGTGCTGGCAGTGAGACCTTAACTATCCATGTTGACAAGGGGACAGAATGATGAGATGTGCACTGACCACTCTAGTTTGGGCCCCAGGTGGGTGTTACTCAGATGAGAATGGACATACTCAGGTGGGGTGGGGGGGTTCCCAGCACCCAGGGCCCTGAGGGGGTGGGGAAGAGCTGATCTGGCCCTGGGGTCTGTGGCACCACTGTGTGCTCTGGGCCTGGAGTCAGGTGCTCCCTCAGGGCTGGGCTTGGCTGGGATGGGTGCTGGGATGGGAGCAGGAGAGGCTGAAGGAGCCACAGCCAGGCAGGGCTGGGTGCTGGGAGCCATTTGCTGTCCCTGCACGGCTGCCTGGGACAAGCTGCCTTTCACTGCCCAGCTGAGGTTCTGGGGACTCCTTTGGGAGGGACTGGGAGCAATGCACAATGCTGAGAGGACAGAGCTGCCTGGAAATGTTCCCTGTCCCTCTCTCAGTTTCTCCCACACCGTCCTGAGTGCCCTGGCTGGACCTGCTGCTACACAGCCCTGAGGTATTTTCTCTCCAGCAGATCACCTTCCCTCTTACATGAAAGGAATGTTTGGGAGCTTTTATCCTCTTTAATGAGGAAGTGTTACAAGGTTCATATAACCCAGCCAAATACCATCAGTGGCCATCAGAAAGGAAGCACAGGGAACAGAAATAAAGCCAAGATCAATTAAGTAAAACAGCAATATCACAAACCCCATATCATCAAGAGCAGACCCTGCTGCTGGAGGTCTGGAGAGTCATCTGCAAAAGCTGCACATCACAAGGAATGGTGTTCCTGTGGATTTCACATTTGCACCTCTGTGCTTTGATATATCAACACAGATCCAATGCTTTAACAGGAGCCTTTACGAGCTGCAAACATCCTCATCTGGCACATCTTAGAATCAGCCAGCATTCCCCTCTGGTGCTGGGGCTGGCCTGGAGGCCTTAGACCCTGGGGTAGGTTCTGGTCTGCTGACAGGGCCAGGTGAGAGCATCCTTTGGGACATCAGAGACTGAGCAAAAGCAGGTCTGTGGCCCTTGTCATTAACAAGATCTTCCCACAAACACCATAATTTGCTGGGCAAACCCCACAACTATCTGCACTGGCACTGCTACAGAATGGGCTGCATTAATGATGGAAAAAGTGACCTGGCTCAGATGAAATCCTGCAGCAATGACTGAAACATGACTCCTGTGTACTGTCTGGCCAATGTTACCACCAAGTCTACCATGCTTCCTGGAGCCACGTATGCCAGGAGGAATCACATTTGCTGCCCTCTGGCTGGGCTCTCTGCATGTCTAAAGGTCATTCTCAGGAAGGATCAGTGCAGGAGCAGGAGCACAGGGCTTGGGGGTCCCTTGCTGGCTGTGTCACAAAGTGTCTTGGTCATCCTGCCCAGAACACAGTGAGAGGAATCGTGGATTTGTCTTTACAAATGAGCTGGGGGTCTGCTGGAAGATAAAAGAAGCAATGGGAAGGATTCCACTGATTGATGAATGGAAAAAGATATTTGCTTTTACAAATAAACTTTAGGTTTGCTGATAAATGAAATTAGGCATTGAGAGATGAAAGAAACAATGGGGAAGAAAAACCTATAAATTCTGTAAGAATTAAAAATTAAAAGGGAGGGTTGTACATTAGAGGGAAATCTCTGGTATTAGGTGTTTTGGGAAGTCTGGACCTCTCAAGTACCTCAGCCAATGGGGAAAGAGAGAAGGGAAACGTGGTTGGGAAATTGGGATTAAAAGGAGGCTGCATCCTCAAAAAATGTGAGAGATCCCAGGGGAATGCCCCATAGCCTCTCCCTTTATTGGAATAAAGCCAAAAAAGGACTCCTCTGTCTCCTTTTTGGACATAAACCTCTGGTGTTTGTGGATTAATTTTCCTGACAGCAGTGTCCAGCAGCTCTGGGTCTGAATGTGCCTCCAGATGCAGTCCTGCCTGCTCAGGCTGTGCAGGACAGCAGGGCTGGGGCTGGATGCTCAGAGCTGCTGGGGGCAGGTGGGTCAGGGCCCTCCAGGGCACAGCCCTCTCTCCATCTACCACGTGGATTTGCCTGCAGGATGTCTCAGGCCTTGGAAGTGCACTGTATTTACACAAATATATAAATAGAAGCAGCATCCAGGCTGTGTTCTGAAATGTTGTTTGCACTCTCCAGCAGTTCCAGAGGAAGCAAAGGGGTTCATGTTTTTCTTTATGCTATTCTGAGATTCTCTTGCAGAGGGATCACACCAGCCTGCTGCTGGAGCTGCTGCTGTGCTGTGGGGCTGGGAGTGCAGGGGTGCCTTGCCCTCTCTGCTGGAACTGGCCTCAACCAGCCTGAGCAGAGCTGCACTTTGGAGCACAGAATAAATGGACTCCTGGACAGAAAGTGCTGCTCAGCCATGGAGCTTCTTCTACCCTGCCTTGGCCAGTCCCTGTGCTGTGCTCCCCTAACATGTCCTGTTGTCCTAACCCTGACCTTGGCTGTAACACCCAAGAGAGAGATGAGATCTCTCTCTACCTCCAGTCAGAGAGATATTCCAGGTTGAGTTCATTCTCTTACTCAGATTAATCCCAGGGTCCTTCCTCTAGATGATGCAAGAACAAAGAGTGATGTCCTGCCAAAGGCTCCACATTGCCCAGAAGCCTAATGACCAAGCCCAGTTGTCCCAGGTAGCCCCAGCCACCTTCCAGTGCCTTGAGCAGCCTCCCTCCATGGCCAGCAAGGCCAAATTGACAAACATGCCCAAGGTGTGGGGGCTGCCAGGTCCTTTGGATCCATTGTGAAGGTTTGGATGTGCCAGGCCTACTCTTTCTCCCACACAGGGTCACCAAATGGAGCCTGCTCAAAGCAATGGGCCACCTGTGCTGAAGAAGGTGTCACCACCCTGAGGCAGGAGTCACCTCTGACAGTGGCACCAGCCCTGCAGAGGCAGGATGGCACCCAGCTCACAGCCCTGCCCAGGCTGCTCACCATGCAGGCTGTTTACTCACAGTGGTTGTCAGCGTGACCTGGGAACAATTCCAAGGTCCTCTTGTGGGGATCCTCCTCCTCAGGGGCCATGTCTTCTGCCTCCCACTGGCTGGACACCCTGAAGAAGCTGCTGCAGCTCCCATAGGCACAGCACTGGTAGGCATAGGGCACCTCCAGGACTCTGCACAGAGGAAAGCAGAACTTTAAGGTGTGTCCCCTCCATGGCCTGACTCTCCATTGCTTTGTACTTTTTGCTTAGTTCCTTCAGTTGTTCAAAGATGAAACTCATCTATAGAGAGTCACAAAGTATTCTGGGCTGGAAGGGACCCACAGGGGTCATCATGTGCAGCTCTGGAGTGAATGGGCCCTACAGGGATCACATCCACAATGTCGGTGCTATTAGCACCGTGCTATAATCAGCTGAGTCAAAAAAAATATGGAACACTCCATGAATTTCTGTGCAGGACCCATGCTGAACTTCTCTGTATCATTCCAATTTTGGTACCTGTGCTGCTGACATGGCAAAAGCTGGTCTGTGTGCTGATGGTTACAGTGGAGAGGGACTTTGCTTTGGTGAAGGACTCCATGTAGGACAGGGTGCAGGTCCTTTGGTGCAGGACTCCATGGACCCAGGGCAGCCCATGGTCTCTCTGCACCACTTTTGGTGCTTAAGACACTGTCAGTCAATAGAATGTTGTCAAACACCAGGTTTGGAAACTGCTCTAAAATTCCCAGATAGTTCCTTGTCCTGGTTCCAGCCAGAACAGGGTTAATTTTTGCAGGAGGTGTGAGGGAGCATGGCCAGGACCCAGAGGTTGTTCTGTACCATTTTACTCATTGCTGGGGGCTAGGGGGAAAAGAGAAAATGTGGTGGAGGAGCCATCTGGCATTTGTTTGTTTTTGGGGGCTTTCCATGTAAATAACTTTCTTTTCTTATGCTTTTTGTTATTAATATTGTTGCTGTTAGTGTTTGTGTCTTATCTCATTGCTGTTTCCAGTAAATTGTTCTTATCTCAACCCATGATCTTGGCCTTTTGTGCCTCCAGTTGGGGAGGAGTGGAGTGGTGCATGGTTTTAGCAGGAACACTAAATTGGAGAATACCATTCCTAAACCACCACATTCCTAAAAACCCTTCTGCTGTTCTCCTCAGAATAAACTAGCCCCTCTATCCAATGTACAGACTTCAATTTTTACCCCAAGGCCATGTTTTCCTAGGCATCCTTTCCTTCCTTCAAGGGGAAGCTTCCCTAGAGCAAGGCTCCCCTTGCTTGCTGTTGAGGGCACCTTCAAACTCCAGTTCCAGGAGTCCCATCTCAGGCAGGGAATTCTCGGGTCTCCCAAATGAAGCAAGTTATTTAAATATGTCTGATTTCTACTTGAAAGTTGAATTGATAGTTGCTAATTATAGCATGTATGACAAGGTTAATTCAGCAGCAGCTGAGCATCATCTGGATGCAATACCAGGCTGTCTGTCAGCAGCTGCATTTTTGGCTTTGCTGGAAGTCAGGGAGACTGATGATGAAGGCAAAGGAACCCCAGGTTTTCCAGACAATTAAGGTCCTCTGACAAGATCAGTAAATATGGTAAAACTCTATATTCTAAAAATATGCTTTTGTTTTATGTTCCCAAACATTTCTGGCCGAGCCCTGGGAGGGTCTGGAAACTCTGTATACAAGCTCGTTTCCTGTTATAAGCTCCAAATTAGATCCTATTATTGAAAGGTGGTAGGGAGGTGCAGATCCTCCCAGCAAGGCTAAGAACTGCTCCCAGATGAGTCCTCCAGACATGCCCCAAGAGTAGGGCTGCTTAATGGCAGTACCCCAAATTTAGGGAATGTTAATGGGCTCCATTGCCTGGCATGGTTCACTGAAGCACTGCTGCAGGCTCAGTTTCTCTGCTACAAACACAAACCAGCTCAAGAGATGTGAATGGAACTAATTTAGAGGAGAAACACCCTGGAAGTGCTGAACTTGACCCACCCTGCACAAGGGACAGCCTGTTGGAGAGGGTCCAGAGGAGACCAGGGAGCTGCTGCAGGGCTGGAGCCCCTCTGCTCTGGAGCCAGGCTGGGAGAGCTGGGGGTGCTCACCTGGACAAGAGAAGGCTCCAGGGAGAGCTCAGAGCCCCTTGCAGGGCCTAAAGGAGCTTGGCACTTGTGAGGGTGCAGCTTGAGTCCTGTGCCCAGCTCTGAACCCCTCACTTCAAGGAAGACATTGAGGGGCTGCAGTCAGGAAAGGGAAATGGAGCTGGGGAAGGGTCTGGAGAGTAAATCATATGGAGAGTGGCTGAGGGGGCTCAGCCTGGAGAAAAGGAAGCTCTCCCCCATCAGCAGGGACCTTATCACTCCTTACACAAGTGATGATTGCAACAAGGTGGGGATTGGTCTCTTCTCTGGGCACTAAGCTGCAGGGAGAGAGAAAATGGCCTCAAACTACACCAGGGGAGACTCATGTTGGAATCAGGAGGAATTCCTTCAAGGAAGGGCTTGTTAGACATTGGAAGGGGCTGCCCAGGGAGGTGATGGAGTCCCCATCCTGGGAGGTGTTCAGGGAACAACTGGAGGTGCCACTGAGTGCTCTGGGCTGGTGACCAGGTGGGGACTGGTCACAGGTTGGACTCGATGATCTCAGAGGTCTTTTCCAACATTAATGATTCTCTGGTTCTGTGGTTGTGTGAAGAAAGCTGGAGAGGAACTTTGGACAAGGGTCTGGAGGGACAGGACAAGGAATCCTCATTTCCTACTGGAAAGGGCAGGGTTTGATGGGATATTGGGAAAAAATTCTTCCCTGTGAGGGTGGGCAGGCCCTGGCACAGGTTGCCTAGAAAAGCTGTGGCTGCCCCATCCCTGGAAGTGTCCAAGGCCAGGCTGGACAGAGCTTGGAGCAACCTAGGCTGGTGGAAGGTGTCCCTGTCCATGGCAGGGGGTGGAACAGGATGAGCTTTAATGTTTCTGTCCAACCCACACCATTCTATTGTTGTATGATCTTGGGTGTGGAAAACCCTCCAAGAGCTTCTGGAACCCCCTGTTGGAAACATTTGGAAACCCATCATACAACATTTCCTAGCTATGAGTTAAAAAAGTCAGAAGGAGGGAGCCCTGCAGGCAGCACTGCTGAGGCACCTGAAGGGAGAGCTCCACACTCCTCCTCAGGCCTGAGCTCTAACCCTGTGTTGGTCCAGTGACCTGTGACCCCAGCCCTGTGTGGAAACTGGAGAAGCTCCAGCTTTGGGAACCCATCCTGGATGAGTGGGAGCATCAGCTTATGCATTCTTAGCTTGAAGGGAACTCCCTGGGACACCCAAGCAAGAGATGACTTTATCTGGGAGGAATTTGTGTTCCCTGGACCATGGGTGTCTAAGCTCAAAGGCAGGTGCCACACTGGGACCCAGGAGCCAAGGAGGGTCGGAAAGTCTGAGCCTGCAGCACAGCACTCTGCTCTGAGCCTTTTGCAGCCTCTTCTTCATCAGCTTGACTCCTTCAGGCTCCTCATTAATCCATAACAGACAAGACACGGCCACACAAGCAGAGTTTATGGAAGAAAACCTGGATGTCATTAGGTAGGACTGCTTCTGGGAATGTTTTCCATTGAGAGGAGCCCTGAGCTGGGCCTGCTCCACGTTTTCCACTTGTGTGTTTGGGGTGGGGGTGGTGGCCTGGGAGCACATCACTGCTCTCCCATGGAACATATTAAAGATGAGATGTGCTAGCAGCAGATGGATCCTCCTCAACCCATGGGCCTGGAAGTGTGGGGACAGCACGAGATGGGCCAGGAGAGCAGGAGGCTGAGTGCTGTGAGCAAACACAGCCTGTGCTGAACACCAGAAGGGAAAGAGCCAACACCCCAAGTACCTCATTTTGGGGAAGCTCTCCTTGGTGAAGGGCTCAGAGAGAGCTGGGTTGCCCTGGAGCTTCAGATGGGTCAGTCCAGCCAAACCATCCAGGGGCAGCGTGACCAGCTGGTTGTCAGTCAGGTCCCTGGTGAGGGGAAAGCAGAGAGGGAGACCATGGTCAGGGCTCTGCTGCCAGAGGTATCTCAGCCAAGCAGAGGGCACTGCCTCAGTTTCTCCCTTGATGTGATGCTGAAATGGGGCTGGTGCTGCTCTGGGGCCAGGAGCCTCTGGAGGTGACCACTCCAGGGGCTGGGCTTGGTGGCCATGCTGGCAGCTCTGGGTGGCCTCTCCCTCCCTGTGCACATCCATGCCCCACACATCCCTTCCACTGTGGGTCAGGGATGACTGCAGGTCCCAGCCCATAAAATACCCAAGGCTTTTAGAGAGGGGGCTGAGACCTGGGGCCCTCCAGAGCCAGCACAGATGGTCTGCAGTGACTCTTGCAGAAACAGCCCATCCTGCTGATCTTCCTTAAAGGCATCTAAGGCAGCTATGGAAGCATCAGGAAATGGAGGTTTAGTGTTCAGGATGAGAGCATCTTGAAGATGGCCCCTCCTGCACTTCATCATCCCTTTATTAATAGTATTAATAGGAAACCTTGGGATTTGTTGTGTCCACATCAGGGCTGAGACATGCACCTCAACACATCAATCTTCCAACAGCTAAATCCCAGGTGTTCTGGTAGCCCAGGGAGTCAGTCTGAGGTGCTCAGATACCTCCCATCCCTGGTGACAGAAATATCCCTGCAACTTACAGCTTGGTGAGGGAGTGCAGGGTCACAAAGGCTTCTGGGTGAATAAACTGGATGTAATTCCAGCTCAGGTCTCTGCAAGGCAAGGACACAGCACTAAGAAGAGAGCAGAGCAGGGCAGTGAAGCTGCTGACATTGGCCCAGCCAAGGGCCCTGGTGGGAGCACATGTGGGATCTGTAGCCCCTTGGTCAGCAGCAATTTCTGTCCCATTGCAGCTCCCCCCAGACAAGTCTGGGTCTGTATATGGGTGGTTTCCAACAGAGGGCACAAGAGTTTGCCTTGCAGGAGCTCCTCTGCTGAGACCAATGGGAAAGGATCAATGGAAAATGTTCTTTTCTGGTTTAATTTCTGTAAATTTGGGAATTTTTTGCCAACATGCCAAACAGGTCATGCCTTAGTGCCAGAGCATCCCCAGTGCAGTCACAGTGCTGGTGGGGCACAGGCAGATAGGGCCAGTGTGCAAACCCAGGGCACTGGGAATATTTCTCTGTCTGTTCTGGGGTGCCCTGACCCCCAGGGGAGCGCTGACTGTGACCCTCATCCATGGAGAAAGTCTCCTAAACTTCGAGATAGACCAGAATCCACAAAAGTGTGAAATAGATTATAGAGAGTAGTGTAGGTGTATCACTTGGTGAGAAATTGAGGTTTTGGGGTTTTTAGTATGTTGTGGATGGAAGCAAGATGGAGGGCACAGGGTGTGGTCCTGGGTTTCTTCTTCCTGCTTCTTCTTCCTTCTTCTCCATGGGTTTGGGTGGCATTTTGTAATTGGGACTTTTGTAATTGGGAAAAATCCACATTGCAGGCTCTGTGGGATCAGTTATTGGGTTAAAAGGGAAAATAATCCAGGTGTCAGTTCTTAATTGGATAGTTTAGTCTTAAAA